ACTAACCGAAATTAGTCCAACTTAGTTCCAAATTTTATACTCGCAAGCATACGAATTGTTCGATATCATAGAAAGCAAGCACTTAAAATTGTCCCACATAAATTAATCTAATTCTAAACAACTAACTTAAATCAAATTGCAACGTAGTGAAATTTAACAAAGATTAATAAATAATGATGGTTTTGAGAGTTGATACTAAAAGTAAAACTATTGACCCTAAAAATTACAAAGCCTATATGGTGCATAGGGTGAGTAACTAATGAGCTAACTACGTCCTTCGGTTGATGCAGGGAGTGCCAACTCGTCGGCCGAGCTTGGCCAAGGAGTACAATTTGTTGATGTTGCGTTGAGCACATTGCTAACTTCTTGATTTTGCGATTGCAGTCGAGGAAGGAACAAGTGTCGGCCTTTGGATTCTCGAGCCTGAAGACAAGGCTGCTAGTTCTTCAAAGTTCACAAATCGTCAACGCCAGATTTGGTCACAATGATTATATTCGTAAAAGTATAAGCACGTCGAATCAACACCAAACTATATGGACACAAGTACTCAAAGGAGATATATGTCTTGATCGTAAATGTGGTTTGGCCATCAGAATTCCGAACTTTGAAACTCACTTGTGAGTATCCAATCATAAAATTACTCAGCGTTCAATGTGTCAAATGTCGTAACTCGTAACACCTTACTTCGCTGAGAAGGCTAATAAGATGACCTCTGCCAATAAGGATTCGGAAATCCTTCTCGACCGAGACTTGGATAGATAACCAGTCAGCCTTGACTCAATGCTGTTTATCCAAACTAAAGATGTTCCTTGGTCGGCTGATTCTACGGCAACAGTTCTGTTTATCCAAACTAAAGATGTTTGCCGGTTGTCTTCACAGTGCTGTTTATCCAAACCGAAGATGTGTTGGTGGAAAAAGAAAATAAAAATTCTCAAGATGTTTGAGAGGTTTGTGCAGGACAATTGTGTGTTGAATTGGAGGGAGCCTGAATGATGCATTCTGCTGTCTATGTATAACAACAAATCCTCCTTAAAATCAAGTTGAGACCACATTCGGATTAGGACTTCTCATTTTGTTCCAACTTTATCTCGAACAATCCTACTCCTATTAGGACTTTGAACTCACCTCCCCTCCTTTTCAGGTCGTATTCATTGTCGATCGAGAATCCATATTGCACTAGGACCCCTTATCGTATTAGGACTTCTTCGACCCACCTGCTCATCCAAACTACTCATTCTTGCAATAGGACTCGACCACCTTTACTGAACAGCCTAGGACCACTAGGCAACCTATAGTATATTTGGAAAACCTTTGGGCCGAACCTACGCTTGGCCCAAAAATATTATTTTGGGCCCAAACAAAAACAAAACAAATGAAAACAAGAACGTGTGATCATAATATAAAAAGTGGCAGCCAAGAAAGTGGAACTTTAATGAAAAGTTCCCAGTACTGTTCACTTTAACGAAAAATCACATTTTTACACTAAAAAGTCAATCATGGTACTATTCACTTTACCCTTTATTTTGTCATTTTCGTTAAAACTCAAAGTTTTCTAGCCTTTTTCATTAGTTTTCCTCCAAGAAAACAAGTTGTAATTCAATCGAGTAAAACACTAGAGCATCCAACTCACCATAACCAATCCTACTAATTTCTTGCAACGAATTATTAACAAGTACTCAATCTCATTGATAGTCAAATTTCCCTTACTGATGTAATATTTATGGCATCTAGACTATTACGTATATTCCACTATGCAACCATCCATGGCATCTGGATTAGTTTAACATAATAAAACTCATTATGATCAGTGGAAATTTATATGAAGACTACACAAATCCTTGAGTATGGCATCTATTACTAGGTAATTTATGGTATCTATTTGCAAGAAGCTATCACTCAAGTTGAAAGCATGGCATCTGCACAACTTGCATCAAATTTACTAAGAAAAAGTCAAGATGGTAGCTAATCACCAAGACTAAAATCAAGCATATAAGCATAGCAAACGATACTCAATGAAAATTGAAAACTTGAAAATAATTCAATTCAGAGTTTAAGCATTCATAATCATGGCTACATCGTAGCCCTAGAGGAAAATTAGTTCCGAAACATAACCGAAAATATTATTGAATTCATAAAAATTAAAAGAAAAATAAGTTCAAAAAAAGCTTGAAAATCCCCTTGCTTTGCCGATGCCTTCTTCAATGATAATCCCTCTTCTTTTCTTTTTTTTTTTTTTAATCTTTTTGTTTTCTCTTCTTCTGCTTTATTTATGATTAGCCCAAATTGACTAGATTAATGCCCAGCCGTTTCTATTTTTCTTCTTTGTCTTCCATCTACTCGCCGTAGCTTTTTTTCTCGTAATCAACAAAGGTTTAAAGCCAAGTTATTGCCTTGTACCGCATGGGTTTACTCACTACAATCATAGCCTCCCAATCAGTTTCTTCAACTCTCCAGTTGCTTAGTAACTGAAATTTTAATCTCCCAACTCGACTTCCAATAAATCTGAAAGTGGCTTCCCCAAATCAGTTGACACCAGTAAGTAATGGACCAATAACCAAAACCCATGCTCATGCTAAGAACCCACGAACTGAAATTTGAAATGAAAATTTGGGTGCCCATCTTTCTGAATCATTCTCTTTCCTTAACCGAGTTGTCGGCGTGGTATGTATATCAGAGGAGAAAGCAGTGCTTTCTTCTCTCTTTTTCGTGAAAATGAAAAAATAAACGCAACCGAGTTGTTGAAGTGGTCACGTGCCTTTTCCTTCACCCTTCACAAAAGTTAAATAATACCAATGTAAACTATTGAAGCCCAATGACATACAAAACTATAGGTCAATGGTACTTGAAACAATTCCCAGACGTATTTGACTAGCCGTGGAAACCAATGACTTATAATATAATTCTCTGTCATATTAATCTAGCTATAAAAAAAATACATAAACATGTCATGACCTCAACTAAAAGCAAAGATATCATTACAAAATATCATTTTTGAGGATAAAATAAGCAGTACAAATTTGTGCTTATCAGGGATTTTCAAGGAGTTTAGCGAAATCAGAATGTATATACTAAAATGAAGATAAATGACTCAAAATAGGTCAGAATATTGGACCAGTCAGCAACCTGAAGTTTAGTTGATTGAAATTTGATGATAATAATATGATATGTCAGTATCTCCAGCAAAAGTGACACAAAAAAAGAGCTACCAGAGTATACCTGCCATGTGTAGCTTGTGTGTAAGATATGATAGTTGGATCTTCGGAAAATGATCATTTTTGGATTCTCTTTGTGATGATTTAATGAATCAATTAATTATATTCATTTATCGTATATTATACAGTCAGAAATTATTTAAAATTTAAATTTTAAAATTAAATATAAATAATGTCTAACGATATTTGATCGTACAATGTACGATGAACGTACATGATTAATTGATTCCTCAGATCCCCACAAAGAGGATCTGGAGATGATCATTTTCCCACAATTAGGAGCCCACGCCAGCTCAATGGCGCCTTGGGATTTGAGCACACCGATTTGGTTGGTTGGAAGGGGTGGTTTGGGATCCCAAAACCAAACCGTGCCCTTAGTGATAACTTTTATGTCTTCAAACAAGTTCTAATTTCAATTTTTATTGAAATATGGACTTTTGTCTCATCTAATTTCACCTTAATTTTTGCAGAGTAAAAACATCATTTTACTTTTAATAAAGTGTTTATTGATGAAAAGTCATAAGAACCCGTTCTATTTAAAATATCAAAGTTTGTAACGTGCACATTTGAAATATGGAAAACATGCATCACATTGCTGTCAAGTGTGTAGTGTGTTAAAATTCTAAGGTAATGGATTGACACGAAACACGTTCTTTACACAAACACAAGAATACGACAAGACATGAATATATATCAATTTAAAAGAAAAGAAGACATAAGGCATGTCAACCTCCCACCAAATCGCATCATCTTCTTCGCATGGCCTCTTTTCACCAAATCGCATCATCAACCTGCGAGGCCTTCTTTCACCAGATCGTGTCGTCTTCTTCGCAAGGCCTCCTTCCACCAAATTGTGTCATCTCCATCCCAAGGCCTTTTTCCGCCATATTGTATCAAAGGCAATTAAATGCAAGGATATCCATATCCAAACCGTCATGAATACATGTATCCATCCGTCAAACACTGTTTTTGTTGATCCAAATACGTATACGATGTGTATCCGACCATATTGGAGACGTATTGTATCCATTTGTATATCTGATACGCAATGCGTGACAAAGCTATTGTATCTGTGCATCATATTTATCGAATTACATGAAAGAATTGATTAAGGTAGTGGATTTGACATGATACGATTCATTAAAATAACGATTATAATACAAATACGACCCATTTGCCAAGTCTATTTAGAGTTGCATGTAAACAAAATTAAAATTAAAATAAAAAAAGGTACCTTTTCCGTTTGTTTTTCATGTGACGAATTGCAACTTGAGAAAAAGTTCACATGACAATTTGGGAAATTTTCCCTTTATAATTCTTACATGTAATGCAGTAAGAAAGAGAAAAGTTGTTATAAATAGATAAAAGTGTGAGAGAGATATAACTTTTGTTAGAGATATAAGTGAAATGAATGCAATGTATCATGATTTTTTATTTTTTATTTTTTGTAATTTAGTCACATAAAAGATGCAAGTAAATAGAAAGATGAGATATTGATATTATTATTTTCACTCTTAATTTTATATGTTGTAATGAGGTTACAAACATATCTCTAGATATAAACATTTTGATCCGACACAATCTTACATGTATGAAAAAAAATCTTACCACGTAGGACTTTTCACCTAAAACTTTTAATGTATGCCCCCAAAAATTTAATTTGAGTTGTTTCCTCGTATAATTTCATATGTAACATTCACACAAATGTCACGACAAAATAGAAATTCTTATGTAATCCATTTGGATTTATCCACCACCACAGACCTTTACCATGAAAGGAATGACTCCCGAAAATGTTGACAACCAAGTGCCAATCCCGTCTGTCAGCATCCACATGCATTCTCTCTTCGGATTATAAAATTCCAGTTTTCCACCTTCAATCCCAGTACATCAAACGCTACAAGACGCAACCGATTCCTCCAACCTCCCGTCTCTCTCTCCCTCTCTCTAGAGCCAACTGAATATTTTTAACTCGGATTCAATCTCGATCATCACCGTCTTGTTCTTCTTCCTCTGCTCCTTCCTGTTATTCATTCCTCCAGTTTACTTGCAGAAGGGGGACCCAAATTCTTGATCCATGGCGTCTTTCAGCTTTACGCAGATCAAAGGCAACACCCCAGTTGCTGAGTTTTCCAGAAGGACTCGTCCTGAGTTGGGTTTGATTCGGCCTAGCCGAGTTGGGTTCAGGGTGTTGGCCTCTGAGAGCAAGGCGGAGCCTGATCTTAGTGTTACTGTTAATGGGTTGCACATGCCCAACCCGTTCGTTATCGGGTCGGGTCCGCCCGGGACTAACTATACGGTGATGAAGAGGGCCTTTGATGAAGGCTGGGGTGCTGTGATTGCCAAAACTGTAAGTCTTGTTGCTCTCTTTCTCTTTCGTTTGGATCCTGAGTTTGAATTGGATGAAAAGATTGTGAATTTGCGAGGTTGGACTGTTTGATTATAAGCTTTTTCATAATTCAGCTGTTTGGTTACTGAGAAAGTCCAGGAAAAGAAATTTTAGAATGATGATTAGCAGAGATATTGGGTGGTGGTATGATGAAGTAAAGAATGAAACTTGGATGATTATGTGTGTTTGATATCTTTGATTTTATGTAGTTGGTGCCATTTTAGCAAAAATGGTTTAAGTGATTTGCTAATAATGTTGTATAGAAATGCTAATTGTCCTGTTAGCAGATGAGTTCGACCGAAAGTACTAAGATTTAGTGATTTTTGTGGCTAAAATTGTCGAAAGTGAAAGCCCATTTGCTGATCAACAAATTGTTGAATTTTGAGTCTTTGATGCATGTGTGAAAACCCTACTGGAGATCAACAATTTGGTTTGTAGTAGTTGCCGTGCGGTGGCATCTTGGCCGGTCCTTCTCTGCTATAATTCTTTAGTTGCGATTTTCTGATTTTCAGCATCTACAATGCCATCTGTTAGTTAAATTCATTTACGTGGTCTTAGTTTTAAAGAGCAAAAAAACCAAACTTGATGATAGTAAAGTGGACAAATATGTGAATTTAGCCTTTTTGTATGAAAAAAATGACCTATGAACCAGTTGACTGGCTACCATGCAAAGAAAGGGATCTTAAAGATAGGAACTCCGGATAATAGTTGGTTAAGGTATTCTGTTTTGCGTGCATGTGAGTGGAAACTCTTCACATTGCAATTTTTTAATTCAATCTTAATTTATGTTTTGATAGGTATCACTAGATGCAGAAAAAGTAAAAAATGTCACTCCTCGATATGCTCGGCTACGAGTAGATGGAAATGGCTCTGCCAAAGGGCAAATTATTGGGTGGCAGAACATAGAACTGATCAGTGATCGACCTCTTGAAATTATGTTGAAAGAATTTAAGCAACTAAAAGAAGAGTATCCAGATAGGATTCTGATTGCTTCAATTATGGAGGAATACAACAAAGCTGGCTGGGAGGAACTTATTGACCGTGTTGAGCAAACTGGAGTTGTAAGTTATAGTACTTAACTAAATTTCTGTTATAACTTTCGTACTTTGATCTTGGATCGTCTTCCATCTAACACCAGAATTTTTTACCTTAGGATGCCCTTGAAATCAATTTTTCTTGCCCTCATGGTATGCCAGAGCGCAGGATGGGTGCTGCGGTTGGTCAAGACTGTGCACTTCTGGAAGAAGTCTGTGGCTGGATCAATGCCAAAGCCACAGTTCCTGTTTGGGCAAAGATGACTCCTAACATTACTGACATCACACAGGTTAACTTGCTTTCGCCTTCTCTTGCATTCCTAAAGATGTGTTGACTCCTTGTATTCTTGTTGAGAAATTCAACATGAACAGCTCTAAATAACAGTAGTTTCTTCTCTAAACTTTTTTTCTTCATATTTATGTACATTTTCTATTATATGCATGTTACGAGATGTTTATGACTTTCATGGACAGTTACATCTATTGTGATCTTGCTCAGATCCATTATCGTTTTGTTTATAGCCAGCTAGAGTGGCTCTGAGCTCAGGATGTGAGGGCGTGGCGGCTATTAATACCATCATGAGTGTAATGGGGATCAATCTAACTACCTTACGGCCTGAGCCTTGTGTGGAGGGGTATGCTGCCAAAACCAGAAATTCATATTGTTTGGTTTGAATTGTCATTCATCTCAGGGAAACATGCCTAAATTTTCTCTCAGATACTCAACTCCTGGGGGCTATTCGGCTAAAGCAGTTCATCCGATTGCATTGGCAAAGGTGATGAACATAGCAAAATTAATGAAATCAGAGTTTGGTGATACGGATTACTCGCTTTCTGGAATTGGGGGTGTTGAGTCAGGTGGCGATGCTGCTGAGTTCATTCTTCTTGGAGCAAATACTGTTCAGGTAGGTTGAGAACTAACTGTTGTAGTTTCTGTATATTAAAATGATGTGATTTCTATAGTTTGGTGGAGTGACCGACTCTTTGGACATTCAACGCCACTGTAGAATGGATCACAGGTTCTCTCAGTATAACCTGACAATGAATAATGCATCTCATAATTGACTTAGAAATATACAGATGCTTTTTTTGTCTCTCGGAGATGTCATTGTTGGTATGGACTATGGAGATAAGATTTCCTCTCGAATGCTAATTTACGTTAGGAAGAGTCTAATGACTAGTTCAGGTTCAGGAAACTTAATTTATCATGCCGCAAATGTTATTTAGGCAACGTGCCATGATAACTGATTGGAAAGCACGACTGGTGGAAGTCACTGGAAAGGTCTTAGCATATACAAAAGTGGAGCTTTAATGCGCACTTGAAATTATTGAGTTTCATTTGCAGGTCTGCACCGGGGTCATGATGCACGGATATGGTGTTGTGAAGAAACTTTGTTCCGAGCTGAAGGATTTTATGAAACAGCACAATTTCTCATCCATTGAAGATTACAGGGGGTATGTGCTTTACGAAGAACGAATGTTCAATCTAAACAGAACATTTCTTTTGAGGTGAAAAATGAATTTCACTCGTATTTTATTTTGGTATTTTCGACGAATTTGCAGGGCTTCCCTCGAATACTTTACAACACATACAGATTTAGTAACAAGACAACAGGAAGCAATCAAACAGAGGAAAGCCATCCGGAAAGGATTGCAATCTGATAAAGACTGGACAGGAGACGGTTTCGTGAAAGAGACCGAGAGCATGGTTTCCAACTAAGCTGGACAACCAAACCAATTGAAATAAAGTGGGATGTTGTTTAGATATTTGAAGAAATAAGCTGCACTGCATGAACATTTAAGCTGATAATGTATAAACTTCTTCTGATGCTTTCCAATTTAATCAAAGCTAATTGAACAGAATCATGAATTAATTAATCTCTAATTGTTGTTTTTTTTTTTTTGCACGTCAATAGTAGTATATATTTGCTGACAAGTAGATGAGTTTAAATTTCAAGATCTGTGTAGTGGATATGTACAAATCTCAAATCATAAATAGGGTGGTGAGCAAAAATGCACTTAAAAAATTAGTCTGCCTAACATTATTCAAAAATTTAATAGTAAACAATTCATATGCTCTATATGAAATGACTATTTAAGCCGCAAAAGGTGAAAAATTAAAAAGAAAATATTCTGAATTCAAGACATAAGTGTTTTTTACCGACTCATATGCCTAAAATTCACTTCTTGATATCTAATGTTTGATTAAGGACCAGATAACACATGTTTACAGGTTCTTCAAATTGTCACAACTCACAAACGTGATCAATGGTGGCAAATACCATTCTGCAATATTCATATAAATGGTTCTGAAAGCACATCTTAAACCCTGCAGAATTCATCTTTGTCCCATGGCCCTTGTGCTACAGTCATCTCTAGCTTTCACCTGTGATAATAATTTCAAGGTTCAGAACAAGAGTAATTAGAGTTCATGTATTGATTTTACGAAGCTATTATTGACACTTCAAAAAAGTCATTCAAACTAACCAGAAAGTGAGGCGGGTGCAGGTTGATCAGGTAGATGGGAGTTGTTTGTGAGATCCTCAAGTTGCAACTGCATGTTAGTTATGAACTCCATAGACTTCTGCCGAGGTTCCTCCATTGCTGCTTTCAGCTTCCCAAGTGCCAAGCAATATGCTTCCTGTCATCGATCACCACCAAACGCATCAATCAATACAAACCCACACAAGTTATTAACTGAAATAGAAAAAGAATATGCGAATACACACACCCACACACACACACACACGCTTCCTCCACATATTGCGTGGTCTTTCAGGAAACTGTGGCATGCATGAGTAGCATCACTGTCAACAGGAAGAGGGATTTGAATTTGAGACCACTTCCAGTAATATTGGAAAAGAGATGTACGACTAATAGCAAGTTGGTGAATATCAATTTTGGTTGAGTAGTAATCTTTTTGTTGCCCTTTATTTTTTCCCTTTGTGCTGAGCAACTTCCTTGAATACGCTTGGGTGTCATTTGGCCTCTAAGATTGGATTGGAACGAATAGCTCTTAGATTTCAAATACATCTAAGAGAGAAGTGAATGATATTTCATTTGGAAAGCGTTAGACATGTAAGAAACTCATTCTTCTACTCCTACCATTTTAAGGGGGATTGGAATGGATAAGTTTCTTTCATTTGTAATTCATCTTTCACCTTCTAGGTGTACACAATATTTCCATTTCTCCCTTTTAACTACTGTCAATTTAGTAGTTTATATATCCATTCCAATCCAATCTGAGATACCAATAGCGAGGCCTTGCTGTGCATGAATTAGTTAATTAATTGATTAGTTTTTTAACATGATGCATAAAAGGGACAAAGGATTTGGGTTATTAGTAATGAATGTGAAATAATAGCCTTCAGGGGTTCGATCTTAATTACGCACCATGAAGTGATCGAGGTCAGAATGTCCAAGCACGCCTAAATTTGCATTGCAGTTGTAGTCAAGCTGTTTCATATCTCCGCAGCCATCATTTGCCTCTAGTTCGCCGTTGATTCCACTAACCTGAAAATTTGAAAAGAATATAAACAAGAAGTATTATCTAATTAATAAGTAGTTAATCAGAAAGTGTTCTTTGTGCAGGATTTAGGATGGATGCCCTAAAGCCTTCACTCCAATGAACAAATCAATTTACACACAAACATAAGGCCGGAGGAGCATTTCCCAACCCCCCCCCCTCCGGGGGAGAGAGAGAGAGAGAGAGAGAGAGAGAGAGAGAGAGAGAGAGAGAGAGAGAGAGAGAGAGAGAACCTTCAAGCAGTCCAAGTGATTTTCAATCAACAAACCATATAAAGGATGAGTAGAGATTTTCTTTTTGAGAATCTCATGATCTTCAATATTTGCTTCTTTTTCCTTCTGCTTGTGACTAGAACTACTCAAATCATCTTCCATATTATAACCTTCCGAAAGTTCCAACCCTGCAACTGTAAATACTAGCTAATTAACTATATAGCTATTAGAGTCAGACAACCTCTCTGCCCTAACCCTAATTAATGTTTGACCATCACATCATTTCTTACCATTTCTGCTCACGTATAAAGAGTAGCGCAGAGTACGGAGACGCTCTCATTTTTTGGAATTCACCAAATGGAATGACTCATGCATGCATATATATTATAAAACTGATGATTCGAATGCATGAAAGGTATCAATCTCTGGTTTTTTTGGCCTTTTCTCTATCTCCCCATTCTCTCTTTTTCTGTCTTTATACATGAAGGAAAGTAACACATCAAGGAGTTTCCCGAGCAATGGGGACCTAGTTAGTGCATTTTCTTCATATTCATCCAGACTTTAATATTCTCCGTCTTTATATATAGATCACTTTCCTTTTTACTAGTCAATCTGTATCACTTTTTTCAAGCAATACATCCAAATTCCTAACTGTTCATGCACAATGGGTGCTTTCTTTTATCGATGCTTGCCAAATTTATTTGAGAAGAGAATGTTTCCACTACTGTTTATCCACTCATACGAAAATGACTCTTCAAGGCTCTGATATATTGGTATCATAGATTATCTGACTATATACGTAAGTACCCAGACAAATCATCCACCAAACCTTTTACATTTTTCAACAATTACAATTAGTACCTATATAACAAAGGAAGATTCATGATTGTACACTGTTATAATTTGCGAGAATTTAATAAACTAGGTCAAGGGCATGTCACATTATATATATAGTGAAACGTAGAGTAGTACAGACGAATAATCAGATACAAAACTACGATTGTTAATTTACTAACTGAAAACAAAGAAACGCTATGGAATTGCCAAAAATGCTACATAACTCGAAGATATTACATCTTATATGACTTATGTCTAACTAAATTACAAAACATCCTATTTATAAAAAAAAAATTACCCTAATTCTAATAGGCAAGGAATCTAAATACTTAACCTACAAGAAAACGCTAAGATGCAACATACAAAATTACCCTTAAATTATAATAAACCAAAAGGCTAACTACTTAACTTTTCCAACATACATATGGTTTGTCGTAATGTTGATAATCTTCATACTCCACATTTTAAGGGTTTTTGAATTTTAATTCTTGAAGAAGATTAAAATTCAATAAAAATCTGGTGTTAGATTGGATATTGATTTTAATCCTCTAATGTGTACTTAATTCAAATTCATATTATATTTTTGTTTTAATATTTAATAGATATCTTATTTAATGTTATTAATTAAAATTAAAATTATTTATTATTATACACATTTTAATTCATTATATTTATTTTACTTACTCTAATTAGTGTACCTAAATGTTCGTATCATAATATATTTTACTAAATTAGTGTACCAAAATGTCCGTACTGAAATATATTGTAGTGAATTAGTGGCACATAAGAAAATATGCAAAAACATAAGTGCACCAAAAAATTCTGTATCTAAATATATGATACTAACCTAGTGTACCGAAATGTTGGTACCTAAATATATTATAATAAACTAGTGTACCAAAATGTCCGTACCTAAACATATTGTACCTAAATGTCCATACCTAAATATATTGTAGTGAATTAGTGGCACATAAGAAAATGGCTTGTTATATTAACACCCCACATATTGTTGAATACACCCCACAATTACTTTTTTCAATTAAAAAAATTTCTTAAAACACCCCCACATAATTCTCTATAATACCCTCGCACCCCATAATCTTAACAGACACCTTACATTTGTTTACATACACTCCACATTTTCTTTGAGTTCTTCGAGCAATCCTACACCGACGACAATTTCAAAATACTTAGACAAGCATTAGTCTCTCCAGGGAACGCTCTGATTAACTACGTGTCTCAACATTTATCAACATGAACTCATTACAGAAGTTATACATTTTTTAACAATCAGTATGCAACTAAATTTTGCAACATGAATTAGTTAGTAGTTAGTACCTATTGACAAGCTCAAAACCCTCTCTGAGCAACTAAGATGACCATCTCAAAGCCAAGAAAGACCATTTCAATTAGTTAGTAGTTAGTACCTATTGCAATTCCATACATTTCCAAAGTGCGGTTTCCAAAATTTAGACATATTTTCATTTCTGTGGTCTTAAAATAATGGCCATCTCAGAGCCAAGGAAGACCATTTCAAAGTCAAGTAATGGCGATCCACCGAGGAGGTGGAGCATCGTAAAATGGCAACAAGAGAAGGGAACAGAAAACTACCACTTATAGCTTTAATAACACAGGTATTTTGGGAAGCAAAAGTAGGCTTAAATTAATATCGATGTCATTGAAATCACTAAAATAATGAAATATGAAGTCTTACTTCATGTGAAGCTTCTGAAACGTCGATCTTGTGTTTCAATCAACGTGTTTGTAGTTTCATTGGTTAGGGTTTTGTCCTACAATGGAGGTGAGAGTGTTTTGAGAGTTGAATAAGCTAAATAATACGTTAAAAGTAATTTAGGGTATATTTAGACTTTTTTTTTTTAACTTATAAGGTCGAAATTGTCATTGCATAGTAGGGTACATAAGTCATTTAAATTAAATTTTAATGTGGAGTGTATTCAACATTATGTGGGGTGCTAATAAAAAAAGCCTAAGAAAATATGCAATAACATGTGTACCCGAAAATCTTTACGAAATATTTTCTTATATAAGATACTTACCATATTGAGAATTAAAACTTATAATATTTTCATAAAATTTAATTTATGAACACTATAAAATTATAAATAAAAAAGAAAGACATTTAAAAATTGGCAGTACTTCTTCATATTGTTTTCGTACTTCGGCAACGAGTAAAACAAAAAATGGAGAATCAAGGCGTGAAAACGAGAAGATGAGTGTAAATGAACAGTGTGTGTGAACCCTAAATCAAACACATGCATTGCTCCGCTTTAACTGATAAAGGGCAGGGAGACGCTTCCAAACGCAAATGTCCTTGTTCAGCGACTTCCCACGAACATTAGACTGGCCTAGCTACTCCTGTTGTGTCCTTCTGTGAAAGAAGCTTAAGAAGCCCAACGTCGCTCAAACCAAGCCCATGTATTTGTTGAAGAGATTAATCCAGGTCGATCTCTGTTAGTCAGATGTAAACTAATTTATTCACGAGGGTTAACTAATCTTCATTTTAATATTCCATAGTCTAATATATTAATGTGTCGACGTCGCTGCATGGCAAGCCATTTACAATCCAAATCTTATCTACAAACACAACAGATGGTGCCAATATCCAACAGATACATGTGCGTTTCTGCAGTTATGCCGCTTCCATGTTGGAAGGTTTAATTTGATCGATTCAATGTGCATTGACAAGCTGAAAACTAACCCCAAAAATGGGAATGATTGTGCCTAAATGACTAGACATAAGACGATGATGGGTAGGCTAAGGCTATACCCTATATCTAGCTAGAAGTTTAGTTGGTGGCTCTTGACTGCAAGGGAAAGGGATCCTCTAGATTAATTTCATCAAATCCACCAATTCGGATCCTTAAAATTTGATCAAACGGCTAAAGTTATTATAACTTTTGAGGGAGGCCCATGCTTTAGCCGTTTAATCAAATTTCAAGGGCCCATATTGATGGATTTGATGGAAAAAATCCAGAGATGATCCATTTCCGACTGCAAGTACGTCAACAAACTTGTATTCTAGGAGCTATATTTATAGGAGTTGCGCTAACATGCATGACTAATCATTAAAGATAAACTTTATGTTCTAGTTTATGTTTGTTGAAATCGAAATTATCAACTCAACAGTAATATTTAAACGCACAAAATTGACTCATTATTAACACATTTTTTAACAGAGATAGCTTAGTTACAAACAAAATAAGGGCGAAGCCACCTTAAGCTAGAGTGGGCTCCAATCTAGTGAAATATTCTAGTAAACAATTTTTTGGTGCTATATTCTTATGAAATTCATCCACTTAGCGAAAATTAACTCATGCCATTGAACTAAAAATTACTCTATACTCTACGTTAACAACTCCTAAAACAAAACAAGTCACTTTATACAGATAAAAGAAAGCTAGCTCACCCTTATAAAAATTTCTAACTCCGGCCTTGCAACAAAGCCCATGTGCTTGCCGCGTGCGACCCTTCATTTGGTTAACTATTAGGAGTACTTGTTAAGGAGCCAAGTCACGGACACGCTAAGGAAATATATAAATACTTCACGTGATGCTCCTGATGGAGACCATGTGGTTGGAGCACGACTGATGCACCCCATCCTCTCTCTCTCTCTCTCTCTCTCTCTGACATGGCTGTATCCTTCATGGATCATATACATACAGCTCAGCTGATATGGCTCCACCATGCCTCCCAATTATTTGTGCCAAGTGCCAATTTATCAGAAGCTTCTGATTAATTTTCCTCAAATAATTTTTAAATTTTCTTGCTATTGATAGGATAAGCATTCGAAAGTTGATCAGCTTATACCAACTGTTTTTTGGTCTAATCCCAACTAGTTCTTAATCTAATAATAAACTGAATGATTACCGTCTATGTATGCATATGTTTGTTCACAAATAATTCGATCGATCAACTGCAACCACCTGCATATATATGTACATGCTGGCTTATCGCCCTCCTCTAATATTTACGTATAATATCTCAAATTAATTCTGGCTATAATGAATGGGAGAAAATATGTATATGAAGCACGTAAGTACAGGTACGTAAGTAACTAATTAAGGCTTCAAAGTTTTAGTTATACGCATATATACCTTATCTTTTACAGTTGGTGGCCAGAAAGCAGAAACATAAAATGTTGTTTTGCAGCTCAAAATTAGGATGATGCGAAACTTTAGTTTGTATTACCTATTTTATTTTGGAATTCTGTTTTGTTAAAATATAGTAGAATAGTAATGTGATTATTATAATTGATTATATTGAGGATTCCTTTTCTTAATAGACTTCTTAGACTAATTGTGATTAGGGTTACAACTATATATATTTCCTCATAGTGAGAAGATTAGTATTAAAGCATTTACGAATTCTAACTTGACATCCTGAGCTAGGTTTGAAAAAAAAACAGATAGAAAAAAAAATTGAAGAACATGCGAACTGCCGTGACAAGGTGACCATGAAGGATGAAGATTATGTGAAAGCGTATCGACAATCGATTGAACGCCAGAGAATGCGTATTTTTTTGGCTGGCCTCGAATCCGAATTTGAACAAATTTGAGGTGAAATCTTGCGCAAGGATCCTGTTAGTGTTCCCTAGTTGGAAGAAGCCCATGTGTATATCCGTCGCAATGCTCTTCGTTGAGAAAAAAATGAATAGTAAGTCTGAAGCTGCTAAACTGGTCAACACTGAACCGGTCTCCTGAACGTCAATTTGATGAGAGTCAATTTATGAATTTGGGAATTATAGAATAATTTAGCGGGAGACTACTTTGTTTGTTATGGGTTCTCTATTTGTTTGGTTTAGGCATTGTAATTTGTGGGATTTTGGTTGTGAGTTAAACACTTCTTTGTAATCTCCATTTATTAATTTAATGAAACTCTTCGTTGTGATTCGCCCGTGACATAGATTTTACGCCGAACATGTAAATCACTTGTGTTTTTATTTTGAGATTGTTTAATTCTTCGCATTCGCCTATGACGTTGATATTTACTACGTAATTTGTTAAAATTTGTTACACATAAAAGTACAACATAAGGGAACAAGATTTTACTATACTATGTATTGGGCAATCTTTGACCAAAAAAAAAAAAAAATGTATAGGGCAAGCACATTATGTCATCAATATTATTATTCAAGAAAACTAGCTATACATGTATGAGAAGAAGAAAACAATAGTACGTTACTGTTGGGACTATTATGTCCGTACGAAGATTTGACTGAAGTTGATATTATAATTTGACATCATATGCTCAAAACCTCTGGCTTTGCTTATGCCTACGTTAACTTACACTCCATCATCCAGCTGCCCCCATATTCACATATATATCCAATTAGAGTCACGAACTTCACACACATAGGAAGCAAATTCATTAAGCCAGCGGAAGAGGAAGGTGCACAAGCTGCAGAAACATACCTTAATATTTGCCAAGAACTTTTAAACACATTTTCAATTTCAAATAATTTCCTCGATTTTCAAACAGTTGCAATGGCGGTTTTAGGGCTAAACAAGCGCGTTTTTGCATTCATGGTTTTGATCTTCATCATCTCGATCGTCGTTGTTGATGGTAGACATACGTTCATTTTACTCTCATCAAATTCTAGTTTTACTTTCCTTATACTTAATTAGATTATGGTAAATTCTCTTTTTCTTTAATTAATGTGTAGTAATGTATGATATGATATGATAATCTTCTCCTTGTTAACTTTCACGCAACGCATCATCAGGAGTTATAGGGGTCGATGAAAAAGGTGCAGATCTTATTCAAGACAAAGCCGTCAAGACCATTCATACAGATTCATTCAAAACAAAACGAGAGAAAAATCTCATAATTGGACAAGATTTGGAGTTACTGGTCATGGATTACACCCCAGCTAGAAGGAGGACCCCCATTCATAACTAATAGTCTAATATATAGTTAATGCTTTCATTTGTATTAATACACTAGTAATTTGTATTAATCATCCATCATATTATTCACCTGGAGGCCATATAGCCACAATAACAATAGGCATGCATGAGCTTATGGCGAGGATTCCACATTTCAAATTCCTGTATATCTTTTCTGTATTGTCATCGTTCATATTTATTTGGGGCAACTATATCTCACCCTGCATGGATCTATTTGAATTTTTTTAATGGAAATTTAAACCTTTTAAAATATATATTTTTTATTATAGTCAGTTTAATTATCCATTATATTGTTCCTCTCATATTACTTATGGTATATATTATAGTGAAACCTCAACTTATTTAATTTTATTGTTAATAAATAATAAAAAATTATGAAAACAAATTCGTGGATCGCTCAATGAGTTCACCGTTTTTGTTCTGAAATAATTGTCAGATTCTTATGTTTGGCTGTAAATTTCAATCAATTTTTTTTATATTAATAATAAAAAGTTACGAAAACAAATTCGTGGATCGTTCAATGAGTTCACCGTTTTGTTTTAAAATAATTGTCAATTTTTTATTACCAAAAATATTTGGCAGTAAATTTGAATCAATTAATTATGTAGAGGATGACACGACAGGCAAGTCTCGTAAAGGATAATTTTTTTCTTCTTTTTTATTACTTTGGAAGTGTTCCTCTTTGTGAGTATCTCAAAGATCTGTGAATCTGGTCCGTTTATCATATATTATGCTGTCAGAAATTATTTTAAATATTTTAATTCAAAATAAACATAAACAGTACTTGGCAAAAACTAACATCACAATATACAATGAATAGACACGATTCATAAATTTTCAGAATCCTTACCAAAAAGATCCGGAAAGAATCCTGTTGGGTTCTTAGCTATTTTAATTTGGTATTAAATAACTTGGTCTTATACAGAAAGTAAAAATGTCAGTGATCAATCACGTTGAATACTTCAAGAAAATTAATTTAACAGGTGAATGTGATCTACCGGGAAAGAGATCTTCTTCGGATTTCTTCCATCAAAGTCATTAAGTTCATTCATTCAAACTCTTGAAATTTCATCTATAACTTTTTCAGAGACCTTCTATTTATAATCATTAAATCAAATTTTAAAAATTCGAATGAGTGAACTTGATAGCTTTGGTGGAAGAGATCCGGAGAGGAACTCTTCCCGATCCACCGCTTAAAGGATATGCAAGGCATGCACGTAGCATTACTCCTGGCCACAAATACTTGTTCATATATGGACTATAGATTTTACTCCTAACATCTTGTAGTACAAGTTAGGCACTTAAACTAGCAGTACTGGTTTCTTATATCTCCTCCGATCCCAGATTCTGTCCTCCTCCTTTTCTCCTCTCGCTCTCTGTACAACTCGTTGCTCGATCCCCTGCCCGCACGGTGTCTGGCAATACAATTCATATGCAACAGACCATGCCAACCTCAACAAGAGCAGCATGAGGAATATTGAGTGCAACTGGAGGCTCTCTGCAATTTTTATCAAGAAACACATAAGTCATGATCAGCAATCGCTTTAGAATGTCTGATCCGTCACGCACTGCTAAATGCACCTGCCCTAAGAAGTATGCAGTCCCACTCTCCCTAGCATCAATCAGTTCTTGCAGCTCCTCCCTCACAGATACGTGCATTTGCGGACTATTCGGAGGCAACATGAACCGGACTTTTTTTCTCACCACCGGCACAAAACCACTCTCGATTGCATCATCTAATGGAGACCGAGTTTCGTTGCTCGCCATACTTACACACTCTATCTCATATGAATTAGTATCATTCAAAGGAATCAAAGCACTTCCGGTTCCATCAGCTGGTGGCTTTCCAATAACCACCATTCTTCCTTCGGATGAATTTTGGGAATCAAAATCATTTTCTTCCATGCAAATGAATTCACCAATCGAACTAATAATCTGTTCTTCAAAATTATCAGTGTCCCTAATAGGATCACAATATCCATATCTCACAACACAGCGATATATCTTAAAATTCCTCGGGCCAACCCTGCCAACAAGATACCTCCGACTTGGAGGGACATAAGGCATTGGCAGAGACTTGAAGGACACGAAAATCAGAACTTGGTGAAACGCTGGAAGATTGGTAATGAAGTGTGAGAAGAAAGCTGGAATTCCTGTCACTATATCACTATAAATGAAACCAATCCCGGGTACCCTAGTAACTCCTAGGCCGGGGCTAATGCCTGTAAGCCATTCTGCAGAGACCTTGTTTTGTATATCAAATTCGAGCTTCTTCTTGGTTCCGTAATGCCATGAAAGCATGATAGTCAAGGACAATGCCAAAAGGACAACAAAATACCAAGCTCCCTTGTGAAAATTCAACATACAAGCCGATACATACATCACCTCAATGGATCCAAAGAATATTAGACAGCAGACGGACTCAAACAAACTTTTCTCCCAGTATAGCGCAATTACGAGTGACATGAGACAAGTCGTTACAAGCATTCCAGAACTTACAGCCAAACCTGTGGAAGATTTAACTAACATCGATTAGATAACCAATTGTTGTTACAAGCATTTCTGGGGAGAATAAAATATTGCAAATTTTGAGTAAAAATTTCATTGTTCCACGTTGATTACTACCAAAAAGTTTTCTCACTTTTTAAGGCTTTGTCCTTTACAAAAAGTGATTGGTGTGATGAACTATAGAGAATAAAATTGGGCTCAGCCTTGGGATTGGGCTTTGAGGTGTACTAATAATTAAATTTTTTTAATTATTTATTTATAATTAATTTCTGATTTAATTAATTAATTATTTTTTATATCAATAGGGTCATCTTTTCAGATGAAGTCTAAAGGGATGAAAGAACGCTAGAGAGCAAAGAACACCAAAGAGCAAATCACCCCTCTGAGAAGATGTCTCGCAACAGACGCATCACATTCTCATACCTGTTGCGAACAGGCATAAACCTATTATATATACATCCATCTACATAACATTTAGAACACAGAAAAATAAAATTCTTCTTCTACATCCCGAACATTCTTACTGAGAGAACCACAAAGAAATTCATCAGAAGTCAAGTTTTTCGGTGCTAGAATTCTAACTTAGATCGTTGAATCCTGGTGAAGCACACATCCGTAGAACTACAAGCACTAAGTAAGGACGAAATTTCTGTTTTAAGAATATTGCGGTATGCAAGCCTCGATCTTCAATTTGTCTGTCTAATATTAATTCATTTTGTTCATACTCTGTTAAATTATTTATTTGCATTTATTATTTATTAGCATATATAAATTTATCATTGATTGTTGATATTTATCCGACATAAAACATGTCAGGAGTTTTTGTACTAGTTCACAATAGTACCTAAGAAGATAGATAGTTGGGAAATAAATACCTGTCGCGCTACCAATTTTGATAATATCATGGAAACCAATCGTAACAAGGAGGCTTAGAACCATCAATAGCCAGTTGATATCAGGAATGTAGACCTGCCCGTGTATCTTATCTGATGTATGAATAACTTTTACTCTCGGAAAACAACCAAGTGCCAGGCACTGATTTATAATGGAGAAACATGCTGTTATGGTTGCCTGGCTTCCCACAACAGAAGCAAGAAGGGAAAATGCTACAAACCAGTGGCGCATTTGTTCTGGAATTTTCATAATCCATTCCACATGTTAGAAATCTCAAAAATTGCAGACAAAACAAGTAAAAGTGAAAATATGACTTTAGCCCTTCAAACTCCATTTTCTTTATATAAAACCCTACATAAATTTTTTACTCAAAGAAAACCCAATGACTAGGATACACATAAGCAAATTCATTAACTTCATATTAATTCACACATTTTACATTTTCACATGCCTAAAATACCCCTATTACATACTTGATGTAGATAATTAATTGTAAGGAAATAGTAAATGATTTTGCAACAAGAAAAAAAAAAGACATTAATGTTAAAAATTTATTGCATATTAATTTTTTAGAAAGCTATTGAATTTTCATAAAACTATTCGATTCAGTTTTTTCACCCTACTCTTGCATACTTTTGAATTTATCCTTTTTTTATTAATATATTAGAACATTGTATTTCATTATCTACATGCACATTAATTTACCTACGAACAATTATACCATGGGTGTAATTCGATGTATATTAAGAAGAAATATAGTTCGATGTATATTAAAAAAAAAGAAATAATTTACCTATGATGTATATTAAGAAGAAATATAGTTCGATGTATATTAAAAAAAAAGAAATAATTTACCTATATTAAGAAGAAATGTAGTTCGATGTATAGTATTAAAAATACTATGTTACACCCATGTTTATACAACAATAAAACGTGCCTAACATATCTAACAATACATGAAAAATAATTTACCTACAAGTTAGAGAAATGTTATTTGGTTGGGTGTAGTATAAATTTTTTTAATAATTGGAAAAATTAAATATAGCTAGGTGTAGCGTAATTTTTTTTTTATATATAATTAGAACAAATTAATTTACCTACCTACGCTTTGAAATTTTCATTTCCAATGATGCAAAATGTTCATTACCTAACTACAAATTAATTTTCAATAATTTACCTACAACAATTATACCATGGGTGTAATGTAACATCTTTCTTTACAATGATACAAAATATTGTATGTACCAATAACAAAACTTGCCTAACATAAGTACTTGTAAATGGAAAATAATTTACCTATAACAAAAGAAATGCAGTTTGATGTATAAAATCAACAATATTATGTTCCACTCATGTTTATACAACAACAAAACATGTCTAACATATATAACAATACATAGAAAATAATTTACCTACAAGTTAGAAGAATGTTATTTGATTCAAAATATATAATATAGGTGTAGTATTTTTTTTTAAATAATTGAAACAAACTAATTTACCTACCAATTAATATGGATAAAATTGCTACAAAATATATCACGAAAAAAAAATTACTTTTCTAGTTTGACATCGATACGGTTAATGCAAACACTTTTTTCATTTTATTTCACTTTTTCTACCACTTTTAATTTGGCATAAATTTAGGAATTTGGAAAATGGACCATAAAGTATGAGTGGCATGAGTGTAAATAAATTGTATTAATATGTCAATAGTGTTCCTATATGTTTGCAAATTTTAAATTTGGGCTTAATCTGGATCTTTAAAGATAGATGGGTTTTTATCTAGAAATAATGAATTGTAAGGACCAAAATCTAAAGCACCCTTTAAAAAATCATACAACTTACTAGGTATGGATTGACTGAGATGATTGAAATCTTTAACATCCAAGTTTTTGGAGATATATGCAGCCTGACCGGCGTAGCTTAAAACAAGGACTGGATATATGAAGCATACAAATGTCATCTGCAGCACGACACACCGTCCGTAAGTTCATTTCAATTGCGAACTACACTTAGATATTATTGAAAGAATATGAGATGTATCAAAAACCTTGATTGATTTCCTTCTGAAATGACCTAGAGATGTAAACATTGCTTCCGATCCTGCAAAAGGAACAGTATTTCTGGATGAAAAACAAGGTCTAGTGAAAACATATGATTCCAAAATAAAACAAAAAGCATTATATGAAGCTCATAAGAATATATGGCTGAAGCGGAATAGAATAAAACCTGCTACACATAAAGCAATGCTGCCTAATGACCTCCAACTTTTGATGTGAATATTCCTGAAAAATCTGTACATGTACATGGGGGATGTAGCAAGGAGAATTTCTTTGTTCCAGTGGAAAATGTTATATACACCCCCTCCACCAATAAAGAACAGCCAAACGACGACAATTGGAGCAAAAATAAACCCAATTTTACGAGTCCCGTAGTGCTGTAGTGTGAAGAGGCACACCAATATAGCAGATGCAGTGGAAACCGGGACATCTGAAACAAATAGGATATCCAAATCGTGACCAGTATAGAAGATGCCGTGGGAAGTGGATAAACTTTAGCTAGCATGATTGACTGGCTCAGAAATGTGTTATTTACTGTCTATGTGTTATTCACTGACTACGAAACAACACAAGCAAGAAAATGGAACAAATTCAATGGATGTATCTACTTGATGACAGAATACTCACATTTCTCTAAAGCTCTAGATATGGCCTCCCTTCGTTTTTCTGACGTTGAAACTGGTTAGAAATTAAGAGCCACGAGATACATTTGTGTCAGAGTAGTGGCTGGCTATATGGTGATTAAAGGATGGTTGAAAGAAATAGATATTTCTGTAACTGAATTTACAGGCAGCTCTTACTTCTGTGTGAAATATCCGACAATGATCTTTGAATTCCAGATGAAACTGAATAGACTGGTTAAGAAAAAGAACAGAAAACAAATCATTCAATCTATAAAATGATATTAACAGTACATATGATCAAATTTGGCATAAATTCGATGCAGAAAGTGAACTTTTTTATAAATTTACAATATAATTTATTTAAAAAAAATGAGGAATGCCAAACCAGAAAGAGTTGGGGTAAGCACCCCAATGCAAATTGTCATGCAGCAACCGAAAAGAGCCAGGAACAGCATCAAATAATGGCTACATCTAAGTTTTTCTATGGCTCTTCGAGCCCTTGATTCTGCCTTTATCTTGAAAGGACTTCCCGTCTCATAATGCATAACGTCATTAGCACTACTTTCATTTGGAAGCAAACCAACTTTGGCATGCCTACACAGAAGTGAATACAAAGCAAAAGTACCACCTACAACAAAGCCAAAGTAAAAAGTTAAATCTAATGGAAAATACTCGAAAATAAATTCTTGCCCCTGTGACGAAACTAGAACATTACCTTCTCCGTTGTCATCAGCTGTTAATACTATAAATGCATACTTGAGTAAAGAAATGAAGTTAATAGTCCAGAAAATGAAGGAGAATAGTTCATAAACGGTATCCTCTGATGGGATATCGCCTGCAGTCAATGTCCCGAAGACGTACAAGGGAGCAGTACTCATTTGACCATATATTACTCCAAGGCTCTGAAATGACAAAAGAAGTGTGTGTTTCCAAGTCTCCTGCATATTATCAACTCAAAATTTAGGTGATGTATACTGATCGCAAAATCAGAATGGGAACTGTAAGTAGATCCAATCGATCAAATCTAGACAGATGTTAACCACTGTCTAGTGATACTTCTCTTCTCTATTCAATATGATTTCACAAGATCTAGTTTCGTTCAAGTAACGGATTCTAGCCAATTGAAAATTGTCCTCAGTTTGAAACTTTGAATCCCCCTCTCCGTTGATAAAAAAAAAAAACTCCGATTCGGACAGTAAATGCACGAGAAAACAGTCTTAAGCAGTATTCTGTAGATAACATTGAAGCTTGGATCTTGGCTATTTTTCTTTTTTCAATTTTCATGGTAACGGATTTAAAAAAAAAAAAAACTTGCTACAGAAATGTCAGAGCAATGCAAGTCAAGTGAGCACAACAACCCGAAACGGAGATGGTATAGTGAGATCATGGCTCAATGCTTCAGCTAGTTCATAAATCCATTTAGTACAAACCAGACAACTTTTTCCAATAAAATCAAGTGAAAAAACAAATTACATACAAGTTTTGTAGCTAAAAAGTTACCTTGAACTGGTTAGGAGCAGTGAGCTGAGGTTCCATGGACGTCTGAGATCAGAAGACAGATTGAAAACAAAAAGTTAAAGTAATGGATACTAAACAAACGTTATTGTGAAGATTTTATATATAAGAAACTAGAGAGAGAGAGAACGCCAACTGCACGGCGACTTACCCAATGCTTCACACACGGAGTTCACAATACAGAAATTAAATTTCCAATTTACAGAGAGAGAGAGAGAGAGAGATGTTACAACTTACATAGTTATGAGGGGATGATAATATTTCATATTTATATATACCGGTAGTTGAGATGGAATGCCGGGTTGAGGGTGACGCCTATGATTTTTAATGAATAATTTATTTGGAAATTTTAATCAGTAATATACTTTTTCATAGATATGATCTAAGCTACATAATGGACCGGTCATATTAAATTAAGTACTAATCATTATCTGATAGATGATCTTAAGTCCTACCTACGAATAGAAAAAATATTCGTAATACCCCGTGTCAATATATTAATATTAGAGAAAAACACATACACATCCACATCTCACATGCCTTTCCGTTTGGGAGGTGGGTTTGGGGTAGGAGGGAGGAACATCCCACATGCGACATGTTCGATTTGTGTGATTGATTTCGCCTGTTTGTATCGTCTGTTGTTTATTTGGACTTTCGCCTGTTCGTATCTTCTGTTGTTTATTTGGAGTGGACTTGTAGTTTGTCCAACTTTGGTTGTTCATCTGTTTCTCGACTATGGAAGGTTCGAAACCACAACCAATCAAATGGTCAACATCAATTATGAAAATATGCCTATTGGTGCAGTGTGGAAGGAACTTGGGGGTTACGGAGTCATGTGAAGTGAGAGATGGAGAGCAAATATATATCCTAGTTATGTGTTAGAATCTCTTTATCAAAAGAAAATTTTCGATAAAACAGTTTTTCACACTACGTAGGCCCAGTAAGGGATTTGAAGAGACATATCTCAATTATATATTAGAATTCATCTACCTTTATGCGAAGATAAACTTCAATAGGACAACCTTATTATTGCAGTTCTCACCCTATGTAGAATCTTATGGCGAGAGATGTCTCACAAATAACATGATCGTAGCATAATTCCCCAAATTTTTTTATTTAAATGGTATCAATCTTCATTCATTGTTAAACCCAAAACTAAAAGTGTTATGTCATATGATGAAAAAGAGAGAGAGAGAAGTCTTGTATTAGATGTATGTCATCCACTTTCACAAACGATGTCTAAAACAAAAATGCAACAACGAGCAGCCCACCAAGACAACTTTAAAGTGAAAAATGGTTTCCATTTGATCCAAAATGTCACTGATACAAAAACGTGGAGCTAACTAAACATTTCTTTGGGCTACAAAATTTAATCACCCCCAAATGCAAGACAAAAGAAAACAAAAGGCGGATCATCTACTAAAACTACTACAAATCCCGCAAAGCTGAAGGTCCTAAACTTTTTTTCATCTGTTTCTCCGTTCTATCTTTATTCATAAGCCTTCTCCCAGTCATCAACCACTTCGGGTGTTTCTGCAATAACACCAACAGGCCGCCCTTCCGAAGTGGAACTCAAACTCGAACCACTTGCTTTCGAGTCCAAGGCCGAATTCAATGGACCCAAAGACTGTTTTCTAGTGTCCTCAACTCTGGGAGATGAAGCGGATGAGCCCAATGCCGTGTCACCGTCCAGTACACTCCATCGATTTACTGAGGCAGCAATTGGTGCTTTTTTATTCCACACATTTGCCGGCGCATCTGTAGAACTGCCAGGCCACTCTTCCTTGCCCCATGAATCTTCCCTCCAACCGGACCCTTGTGTAACAGTCTTCTTCCACGGATTACCCATCAGCACTGCAGAAGCTCCTCCTTCCCTAGATGTCCCCAATCCACCCCAAGCATTAGAACCTGGTGCCGCCATAGATGCACTGCCGTTGGAGTGAACAACAATAGCGCCATGATATAGTGCACCATTATCCAACCTCCTCCTTGCAGTTGCCGCTCGAGCAGGATCATTGAATACAGCTAATGCATTCTTATCGTTCAACCAGACTAACTCACACTCACCACCAAACCTCAATACAAGTGCACTTATATCTGCATCTCTAGGGAGATCTGGGAATGAAACTACAAGCCTCGGATCCATGTCCACTAAATGTTCATAAGCCGGAGGCTGGGGTGCACTCACTGTTATTGTGCCCTTAACCCCAAATATCCGAGCGGGGGCTTTGGATTTAGGTGTAACATGAACCACAATAAATCGCTTGGGCTCCCAACCAGCCGCTTGAACTGCAAGCTTCCATCTTTCAGCGATCATCCGAACTACATCCCTCTTCTCCTTCAGCATCGGGCAGAAAACATGAACCTTGAGACCACTTGTAGCACGTCTACTCTTGCCGAGCACCAAGTACTTGCATCTCTCCTCCACAGATAATACCCACTTGGGATCGCGTCTAAGAAGGTCCGAAAGCAACTCAGCAACAGCAGAACTCTCACCAAAATGGAGCGCATCCAAATTTGGAGGAGTTATATCAAAAGCATCTGCAAGAACCCGTTTCCGCTCCCTCTTAGCACATTCATCATCACACATAAGCTTCCTCTGTCCGAGCAGGATATTCTTGCAGGTTGATTCAATTGGTTGCAGTGGTGCTGGCAACCTTTGAACAATGGAAGCTTCATAAACAGTATCAGCCTTGAAACTAGCATTGCTGCCACCAGAATCACAAGGAACACTTGCTGTCATCCGGCCACAAGAACAAGTGATTGTGACAGGAAAATCACATCTGCTATCAGGACAAGAAGCATAAGGGTGACAAAGTGAAGTACATGTATGCCTGCAATCTCTCCTAGGAGCACCACATATCTGTCCACAAGAAGTTTTTGAACCTTGGTCTGCCAAACAAGATGTATCACAGGGAGGTGGGTGACAAGTCCTGCCACAAGCATGCATACCACACTGCCTTGTCTTCCCACAGAGCTTGTTACATTTGATGTCCCTCGACCCACAAGGAATGTTCCTGAGGACCACATGCCCACCAATGCACTCCTTTGCCACAGGCACCGAACATGGTGGACAGTCTCCAAAGTGGCAGCTGTGAGAAGATGTATGCCCACAAGGCTGAGGGACAGAACACGGGAGCTGACATGATGGAGGCGGGGTACCGCATGGCAGTGGAGGAGGGATTGAAGTCCTCCCACATGCACAGGTCAAGTCCGTGAAGATTGTATCAAGGCAAGGAGGGCAGTGGCCACTGTGACAAAGCGATTCACAAGAATGCTGACCACACCTTAACTTCTTCCCACAGGACATAGAGCAAAAGTGAGGATCCCAATCCCCCGAGAGAGCATTATTCAAATTAGAAAGAGGACAGCACCTCTCGCTGCACCGGTGCCTTCCACAATTCTTCTTCCGCCCACAAGGCTTATCACAAGTGAATTTCTCATTCTCCATTGTGGTTTTAAAGCATTCCGCAGACCGAGAAGTTGACCCACAACGACACGTTTGGGTCACTTCAACCAAACAAGGTGGGCAATCCCCAGTATGGCACACCTCTTGACACTGGTGCATCTCACAAGGGAGGGACTTGCTACATAATTGAGAACAGGTTGGAATCGGATCCAAACAACTCCGTCGTTCCTCTTGCAAGCTTGTCTTCCCACAGTGGCATGTCTTAATCTTAATTGGCATTAAATTGCAATCTCCGCACGGCCCAGGATGGCAAACCTCACTGCAGGAATGATTACCGCAACTAAGCATTTTTCCACAAGGGGAACTGCATGAAAAAACACCATCTTCTGCTTTCACCTCTCCCTTAACAGTCATGTCTCCACAGAGAACAACCTCCACTTTTTTCTTGCAAAAGCAGGATGCATCAACCAGAACCTGACAAGGATCACAAGGACCCACATGGCAAGTCCGCTCGCAGCGATGACGCCAACAATCAAGCAGCTTATTACAATGCTGACCACAAGTCAGAACAGATGCCCGGTCGGAACATCTCGTTGTGATTGTTTTCTTTCCACAAGGGCATAAACGTGGCGGGGCAAATGCTTTACACGGAGGGCATGGACCTGGGTGGCACTGCAAGACACAAACGTGAGGGCAAAGATCATCCTTACTCACACCCTTGCCTGGGACCTCCCTCTCGAGTTGCTTCCCGCAAGGCTCACCACACGAATGTGGTGTCAAATACAAATCTGAAGGCGGGTCTGTCCTTTTGCCACAGAAGCAAACATACTGAATCTCCTTTGAAGATGTGAGCTGGACAGACTGACATCCAGGACACCGCCAATTAAACCCCTGATTCTTCTCTGCAGACATGTCGATAGAAGTGGGAGCTCGAGCCCATTTCTTGATGCAATTCAGATGGAAAATTGAGTAACAGCTTGAGCAGGACCAAACAGGTGCAGACCTCCTCACCATTTCATAACAAATCATGCACTCGACAGTGCCCTTTGTCAGCTTATCCTGAATTTCTTGCACAAGCTGGGGCAAATTCGAGTCCTTCAATCCCTTTTCCTCCTGATTCTCACTCCTTCCCCTCTCCCTTCTATGGTTCGCTGACTGGCCCATATGGCCTTTAATAACGCCATTATTTCCTCCTCTGTGTGGCCGAATCTCGGATGTAACAGAGCTATGATTAGGCAGGCCAGCATTCCCATTGAGGTTGTTAGAATTGAATCTTGGATTAGGCTGGCTGAGATTGTCATTCAGGTTGTTTGGATTAAATCTTGGAGTAGGCTGGCTCACATTGCCGGTCGGGTTGTTTGGATTGAATCTTGGATTAGGCTGGTTGGCATTGACATTCAGGTTGTTCGGATAGACTGGAGGCGGGTTAACAGCAGCAGTGGCAGTGGTAGGGTTGGTACCTCTCAGCACCCACTCTCGACGAGCAGGCTGAGTAGGCTGAGTAGCAGGTTGAGTAGGCTGAGTAGCAGGCTGAGCAAGAAACCTGGACCTATCCCTTCGCTCATTTTGGACATGAAAACTCATATTCTGCGAAACTACCAAGCTATCAGACCTCCTATTCTCCGACAGTGTGCCGAAATAGGCGATCGAATCAGAAAAAAATAACTCCTCAAAGAAATCCACGCCCAGAAAACCTACCGGTAACTGCAATCAATGAATTCAAATTGGAGTTGAATTAATTAACAAATTTCAACAAACAAAACACTAAGCATTCATGGGTTCGCTAATCTAAAACGAATTCATATTTGATTCCAATCAAGCTCAAAGCTTTCCAACATTTTGTGATATCCCAACAAGAAAAAAAAATATTGATATCTAATTCAAATCAAGCTCATAACTTTCCAACAATTTCTGAAAACCCAACAAGAAAAATAGAAACCCTAATCGAAACAACTAAAAATCCGATTCGAAGTCGAAAAAAACAAGAGAAACCAAAATAAATTAATCAAGTAATTACCTGATCGGATTTGTCCCACCCAGATGATAAGAAGCAGAGCGAAAATTTCCCGCACTTCCGGTGAGTCTCCCTCTTTCTAGATTTTATTTCTGGGATTTCAAGTGAAAAACAAAAACAGCAGAAAAATTGAAAATATTCTCCCCTCTGTGTGCGCGTTGGTGTTGTGCGGCGGGTCCCAAAGGTGGATATTTTTCAGATGGGTTTGTCTCGGAGACGACACAAACCGACCCGGTGAAGAAACGGGATGAGAAAGGGGGAGAGGAGAGAGAGTAGTTTATATATGTATACGGTTTATATATATGTATTTATAGTGAGGGTGTGGCTTGGGGGTTAAGGAAAAAGGAAAGGGAAAGGCAGTGAGGGTAGTTCGTCACCGAAATCGCAGACTCTGACCTGACCTTTCGTTTACTGCCACTTGTTTAGTCCTCTGACTCTTTTGCGTGCTCACCACGAACCAGTCCGGCCGCCAGGCCCACCACCGTTCCCTTTGTGTGCAGGCCACTCCCGGGCCTCCCCCCGTTTTATTCACTTGACCCAAGCATATGTGTATTGGTCCACCTCTGATTCCTTTTCCATGACCCAATAGCAACAAGGCGCAAAATGGAATGGTTACTCTGAATAATGTTATTCATACTATGTTTTTGTATCATATTTTCATATCATCTTAGGTAGCATTTGATGTGGGCAGCTACATCATTTGAATTAATCAAATTTTTAAATTTAGTTCATTATTTGATAAACTAATAATTAAGAAAAACTAGTTAATTAAATGATGATTGTGGTATACGAGGAGTCTTTCTCCTTCATTTTCTTGGGTTTTGCAAATTTTTCAATTGATATGATTGTCCACATCAGATGCCACCTAAGGTGGTATACAAAAGCATAGTATGAATAGCATTACTCGGCCACTTTAGGAGTCATGATACTTATACTCATAAGCATTTTCTTAAAAGTCCTTTTGTTAAAAGCACATCAAAGCCTATTGGTCAAAGCCATGTTTGGGATTGCTTTTGATAGGCTAAATGCGCTTCTAACAATTAAAAAACGCTATTAATTTCATTTGATTAAAAAAAAAAAAAAAAAAGGGAGTTTAAAATTAAAAGTGATTGAATTGCAAACGCGTTGTGTTGATTCTCTTTAATGTGTTTCTAATATAAGAATGTAAACGACAAAGTCTCATATAAGCGATGGATTTAAACATTGCTAGAGCTTACAATGAGTTTAGCTATTTTCTATATTGTCAATTGGTTTTGTGGTGAAACCTTAACTTCTTTTATAATATTAGAGTCAGGTTGGCCTACGTGTGAAGCAACGACCATTAGGGATGCAACTCAGGTAGGTTGGACAGGTTGGATGGTCAACCAAACCTTCACAATTTGGGTTTTGGTTGGGTTCGATTCCATGTGGGTTTAGTATGCTTGGTGTCACATCCCGGCCCGGGGCGGAATGACTTCCTGAGCCCGCTTCCACTACCGTAGCACGATATTGTCCGCTTTGGGCTTACCATTCCCTCACGGTTTTGTTTTTGGGAACTCACGAGCAACTTCCCAGAGGGTCACCCATCCTGGGAGTGCTCTAGCCCTCTTCTCGTTTAACTTCGGAGTTCCTACGGAACCCGAAGCCAGTGAGCTCCCAAAAGGCCTCGTGCTAGGTAGAGATGGAATATACATATAAGGATCAGTCCCCTGGGCGATGTGGGATGTCATAATCCACCCCCCTTAGGGGCCCGACGTCCTCGTCGGCACATTTCCGGCCAGGGATAGGCTCTGATACCAATGTCACATCCCGGCCCGGGGCGGAATGACTTCCCGAGCCCGCTTCCACTACCGTAGCACGATATTGTCCGCTTTGGGCTTACCATTCCCTCACGGTTTTGTTTTTGGGAACTCACGAGCAACTTCCCAGAGGGTCACCCATCCTGGGAGTGCTCTAGCCCTCTTCTCGCTTAACTTCGGAGTTCCTACGGAACCCGAAGCCAGTGAGCTCCCAAAAGGCCTCGTGCTAGGTAGAGATGGAATATACATATAAGGATCAGTCCCCTGGGCGATGTGGGATGTCATATGATTCGCCTTGCTTTGCACGAGTTGAGTCCGCCTTGTTTTGCATGTGTCGAGCCCGCCTAACACTCATTTTTTTGACAAAAATGCAAGTATTTTATTTTCACAAAATATTTTTCCTAAGCATTAAGTTAAACTTTTTAATGAATTTGGAAGCAGTTTTACGATGTATTAAGCAATAAATATATATTTAATAGAGTATTTAAGCTGAAAACTAAAAAAATAAGTGAAAAATATAGTAGTAAAGCCCAGAACATTGTCAAATGGGATTCTAAACTCAAGAATCTCAACAGAAAGTCTCACCCTAATTTTCAAAACTTTACAATGAGGTGAAGGTGAAAATAAATGGATTAAACGGTGATTTATGTACAAATTTACAAAACTGACAAAAAACCATGAGTGTTAATTCACTTTTTGTAACATCCCACATCGCACAGGGGAGTGATCCTTAAATGTATATTCTCATCCCTACCTAGCACGAGGCCTTTTGGGAGCTCACTAGCTTCGGGTTCCGTAGGAACTCCGAAGTTAAGCGAGTAGCGCACGAGAGCACTCGTCGGGCCCCTAAGGGGGGTGGATTGTAACATCCCACATCGCCCAGGGGAGTGATCCTTAAATGTATATTCTCATCCCTATCTAGCACAAGGCCTTTTGGGAGCTCACTGGCTTCGGGTTCCGTAGGAACTTCGAAGTTAAGCGAGTAGCGCACAAGAGCATTCCCAGGATGGGTGACCCATCGGGAAGTTCTCGTGTGAGTTCTCAGAAACAAAACCGTGATGGCGTGGTCGGGGCCCAAAGCGGACAATATCGTGCTACGGTGGTGGAGCGGGGCCGGGAAGTGGTCCCGCCCGGGCCGGGATGTGACACTTTTTCTGTAAAAAATGCAAATTTTTATTTTCTTGAAATATTTTCCGTGACCATTAAGGAAATCCTTATAATGTTGTCTATATGCGCATGTTTAGTAAAGATAATCCTAGCAAACCAGAAAGTATTAGAAGTGTGAGATGGATTGAAAAGAAGGTTGTGTGAGAAGGGTTGGTTTCTCTTTAAGGTGTTCTTGCTTTGGATTTTAGTCAAACAAAGGAAAAACGAAGGTGTTTATATACGCATGTTCCATGTTGGTATAGAATCCTAGCAAAAATGAATCAGCTTTCCTGAAGTGTCTCTTTGTTTGGCTTCCAGCAAAACGTACGAAAGAAAAAGAAAGTTGTCTAATATGCATGTGTCGTGTGTTATTCATGTTGGGCATAGGATCCTTGCAAAATAAAAAAGTACTAAAAGTGTATCCATGATCGTTTGGTCTACTGCACTCAAATTTTCTAAAAGATTACATGTATTATATATATACATATGATGATATCTTCTGTACACATGTGAGTAGCCGAAATCGCAGGTAAGACGAAAACTAGCATAGAGAAAGTCTTGGAGGCTTTGCAGCTATTCAGGGATGGTGCACGCATACACATTGATGTGGGTGCATCATGCAGCAGCAGTACTGTTACCACTGCAGCAGCTCTCATGCGATGACGAGGAGGAGGAGAAAGGTGATTTGGCTGGTTCTATTGAGATTTGCAAAAGCGAATTTGTTTGTTCCCAAAAATAATGAAGACGAATTATACAGACTGCAAAGGATTTTTCATTCCGATTAGAAGAGGATTAAACATTAAAAAAAAAAAAAAATCTCTTCTAATCTTACTATTTTGAAAAGGAAACAGAGATAAGTTTCTCCACGTGTAATTCATCCTCTAACAGTTGGACATTTTTTTTTTTCATATCTCCACTACTTTTAAATTGAGAAATTATTCTAATCCAATCCTATATACCAAACGAGCCCCTAAATTAAGTAGTTTTTGAATAAAAACTATATTAATTAGGAATGAATCGACAAAAGACCTTGAGTGCAGGACTAAATGCCATTACTAGCTCTCAAAATATATTGAAATGCATAGATGTGGCATGAAATAGCTTGAGGTCAATAAGAAAAACTTATACAAGAATATACTGAATTACTGACCATGTGACCCGTAAGGAAGCTCTCAAAAGAATTTGAGACTCAAATATTTTGGTCTCAAAAGAATTCCTAAATTACTGGCCATGTCACTTATGCAGGACATACGGAATTACTGAACATGCCATGAAATATCATCCAACTAATTAAGCTACTTTTACAAAGAGTAGGCCGTATGTACGTGTGCATTAAAAATTGTATCTATCCGAAGTCCAATGGTACTTAAATACACTGATGGTCTTTTTATGTGAGAATAGTTGACCATCCCACCGCTGCTTTGTTTCGATGGCATATTTGTCTTTTCCCTTATCTTTCTCATGGTGCGTTCCATTTGAATGTGAATGGGGAAAATGTCGATGTGCATTTGCATATTCATGAGAAACTCTTGCATAATTGAATTCCATTTTTATAAGTTATTAAGTCAATGTAATTGTGTCTGTGTAAGTTTATCTTACGCATCTGATCTCAAACCCGTTGAAGAAGGAAGAGAGCACATCAAGTAATCGACAACCGACATTCTATTTTTCACATCAAATCCTTATGAAGTCAATACGAATGAAGAGGTTTATACTTTATAGGAAAAAAAGGGTCCTGGCCTTGAATGTGACTGGTTTAGCCTTGGTCATCCAATCCGAAACGATTAAACGATTAAACGATTAAACAATTAAACAATTAAAACATAGAAATATCAGCAACTTGCCGTTCCAAATAAAACTAAGTTAAATATATATAAATAAATAACACCTACAAAGTTACAAACAATCGAAATTTGCCAAAAGATTACTCTTTCCAGATTACTCATGTAATAGTATTTTCCTTTTATACCACCAACTTTGGTTGGTGAGGAATAGAACAAACACCAACCGTGACTCTTCATACAAAGAACTAAATTCATACCAAAAACCAAGAGAACTATGCATTACTGAAGTGCAAAGCCAAACATAACAATTTCACAAACCAATTGTGTATTATTCATTCATCTCAACTTTGCCTTCGACTCTGTGTAATTGGTTTATCAAACTGTGATACCGCCCCAACAACACTGTGTTACGATAAAGTTCTTCTCGTCAGGGTTTTCACTTTTCATGACATAACATGATTGGTAGGCCTTTTGGTTCAAATCTTTGCCAAACCGATTTCTACAGTCAGGACAAGAACAAATATATTATGGAGGACTGATTGATATTATACGAAATCAATCAAAACCAGACAACCAAATTCCAAAAGGAGCCGAAAATTAAGAATATCAGTTTCTTTCCTGCATATTCTTACTCAATTGTAGTTTTTAGAATACAT